AGTCTATTTCACAAAATTAATTTTTACTTTATAGCCAAAACATTCTTTGATATTTTGTACATGCGAGTATGGAAAGTTAAAAAAAAATTAAAATAAAAGCTTGCTAAATAATATTAAAGGATAAAATTAAAAAAAGAAAATAAATTCAAGAAAAAAAACAATATTTATATGCACGATATAATTAAAAATGGATATGAACATGGGTGAACAATGCAATAAATTGTTCCTTCTCCTCGGATCTTATAGTTTTTTTTAAAAAAAAACAATAAAAGAATAAAAGAAAATGACATTGATATCGGTCTTGTACATCCGGCTATTATTCACATGGAATTGTTCCTCCTATTGATTAATTCTGACTAAAAAATCAAAACACCTCATGAGGTTTCGAAAGGTGCCAAGGATTCATTCTTATTAAAATATTTAGGATCGCAACGGATAATCTTCAAAAAATAATAATATATGCTAACCAAAAAACAATTGCATTGAAAAAAGAAGGGGGATTCAAGATTTTTTTTCCGTAAAAAAAAAAAAGCAAGTAAAAAACGGGAAATCAAAGTTTTAGGAGGAAATGGGAATTCTACGTTAAAAAAATAAAAAATAAAATTAAGAAATTAAAACTTAACGTGAAATATTAAAGAATACCAGTTTCTCCAAGCCATATTGATCAAAATATAGAACAATAACTCATGGAAACTTGAACAAATTTCAAAATATAGAACAATAACAGTCCCTTGTTATGACTATATACGATCAAACATGAACAAATTTAGAAAGGTTAATAGTTTCTTGCTAAAACCAGACAATCCCTAGTCTTGCAATATGGCTTCTCTGCTGGTTTTATTGCAATCTCGTGGGCCAAGTAAAGCCTTTCTTCTCGACCAAATTTAGAATCGTCCGCAGATCGAAGATATGGATCTGAAACGTCCCTGTCCCTCGACCGACAAATGAAATGACCCTACACCATTGTCTCTTTGATCTCCGCAGCTTGGGATTTTAATTTGCACCCTGCCACCATTCTCTCTTAAAATTTACATTTATGTAGTCCTCCTCTCTCTTCTTCCGTTCCTCATGCCGTCCTATAATATTACTGAGGAGTAGTTCCATCTATTGATCATCTTCAGTAAGGTTTAATCTGTGTTTTGCAACAATTTTACGCTAAATAACATGATTGTTCTGATTATATATAAAGTGGGTCTGATACAAGAACAAGTTTACCAGTCAAGATGATATGATTTCGATGGCAGCAGTAGGATCTCACGGGTCGAGGAGGAGAAAAACATCAGCACATTGCCTAATTGTCTCCACATTTATTTGAACCCAAAAACTATACACTAAAATTAGTGTCTGTTTTGCCTGCACATGGAATGATGAAGGGTGTTGAAAAAAAAAATGCAATGTCGCCCTGCCAGCGTAAATAACATAATAAATGACACCTAGTGAAAATATATTTATTTAATATTTTTAAATTATTTTGATATTCTGGTATTAAAAATATTTTTAAAAAAATTAAAAAAATATTTTTTTGATATTTTTTAAACAAAAAATATTTTAAAAATCAACTATACCTCCACTCCAAAATATCATCTAATTCCATGGCCAAAATTGGACAAGAAACCTTCACATGAAATGCTCCATGCCCACTCCAATCATGCAAAGTAAAGAAGAATTACGTGCTTTTCTTTTTTTCTTTTAATTAAATGCAATTTATCCCTGAGGTTTGTAGCCCTTTATGCTTAATCATTTATCCTTTTGATTTTTCAGTTAATTGCTCGTTAATTTTACTCTTTAAGATTGAGAATATTTGTTAATTTCAAATTCAGGGTCATTATTAATTTCAGTGATCCCTTGAGATTTAGAATTATTTTTCATTTAAGTCCCCAAAATCTGAGCTATCCGACCCTTCTCCATTAAATCATAACGGTGTTTAACAGATTGGCTTAATTGAATCAATTCTAGAGTGCCAACTATAACGTGATTAATTAAAAATTAATAATAGTGTAGATGGATTATTGACTAAACCTGAATATTTATTGACAAAATTAATTAACGTAATCATTCAATAATGTTGATTATGCTTTTTCCTTGTCTTCAGAGCCAACATTTAAAAATATTATTTTTGTTAAACGAGCCACGGAGGAATAAAAATCATCAATATTTTTTCCGGCATCGGTTCTTGGTGACGTGGCTTGCCCTTCCCGGCAAATTAAGACAAGCAACTTCAAACCAAGAAAATCCATAATAAAATTGCTTAATAAATCTAAAAAGTTGGAGTGTCAACTACAGCTAATTCACTATTAATATCAATAATGAATCATGTGACCTCCCACCTATTCTTTTCTTTTTTTCATTTTCAAACTTTTTTTTTCCGTATAATTGATTCCTTAGCTGAGATTTATTTTGAAATTATAATGAAATTACCAAATTAAAAACACAAATGACTGGAATGTCTAACATGATAAAAAATCAAGTTTGATTTAATTTTTTTTACAATTTAGATTTTATATTTATCCTTTTTTTCTTAGTTTTTTCTCTATTTTTTTTACTAGTTATTTGATTTGTCTTTGATTAACTAATTAAACCGACTAAATCAAGTAAAAAAAAATCTCACATATTTAATTTTAAATCTAAGTTAAGAAATAATTAAAGATAAGAGGTTTTTCTCTTTAAATTCCATCTTTTTTCTTAATTTTATCATTAAGTTTTTTTTTCAACGATCATCCAAGTTATTTTTAGACCGATTAAGTTAACTAGATCATATATAAAAAAATCTTATAAGTTTAATTTAAAATTTAAATTAGATAAGAAGTCAAATCAATAAATTTTTCTTTTAGTTTCATTTGTTTTCTAATTTTATTCTTAAATTTTTTTAATAATTATTTAAATTATTTTTAAATCAGTCAAGTTATTTATGTCACATCAAAACAACTTTTATACAACTTCTACATAATTTAATTTTATATTTTAATTAAATAAAAAAAATCAAATTAAAAGATTTTAAAATTAATCTACCCAACTAAATTTAATAAAAATACCAAATAATTATTTACATTCAATAATTTTTTTTTGTTATGTCTAGAATTGTTTTTACCCGAGTGAAGCAACATATATAAAGCAAAAGGAAACTTGTCATCCCCTCTACACGAAAGGGGGAAAAAAAAAGAAATCGAAAACTTGGAATTACAATGATGAGTCCACTGACACATGCAAGTCTACAATTGTTTCTTCTTAATATCAGCAGGATATCATGAGCTTCATTACTTGACATATATACTTGCTTTCATAAACCACATGCAATCACATGTATACAGCACTAGAAAAGGATATATATATATATATATATAGAAAGAGAAAATTAAAAAAACAAAGAATAAAAAAAGAGAGAGGTGAAGCGGACAAAACAAAATTATAGCTTAGAAAAATAGCTTTCTCACTGTTGCTTATGATAATTGCTAACTTGAAGACAAAACAATTGTAGTTCAATGTCTTGGTTTTTGAAACAAAGACCGCACAACAACATGCATTTTTCCTTATAGAATGTCTTCAATGGATGCATAATTGCAGCAGCCTACTTACAGCTTTGCTGCTATTATGTCCAAAGACTCTAACATTCTTTAAAAAAACTTTGCGTCTCGATCCCCCCAATAAAACTAGAAAATGGCACATGCATGTTAAGTGATAATGATGAGCTGACTTGCCCAATCTACTTACTTCAATGTCTTTGATTTTGGTAAAAATATTTAGTAAGATTAAAATTTTTTATGATATTTAAAGAGTAATTAGTGATATTTTATTAATTATTTCTTGAATTTCTCTTAAAAAAGATAAATATAAAAAAATTAAAAAATCCATAACCTATAAATAATAATAATAATATCTTTACCTATAACTTTTTATGGGGAAATCTTCATTATCATTGCTAGCTTTGAAATTCTTAATCTGTAACTATTGTTTTTTAAAATATTTTATATTTAAAAAATATATATTATAATAATAAATTTTTAATTATTTTTAATTTATTTTTTATATCATTACCATGTTAAATGATAAACCTCCTAAGACACCCATAAAATTACCCACACATCTTTGCTAACTTCTTCTTCTTCCTCTTCCCGCTTGGGGTGTGTTTTGAATAATCTTGAAATGTCTGATATACAAGGCAGGTTGTTTCTTCTCAATGTGATCAATTTGTATCTAGTTTGTTCTCACTTGGTATTGAATGGCCTCGGCTCGTGTCCCCATGAACTCTCCTAAAAGAGTGACTGGCCCGAAAATGCAAAACCAGAGGGTCGAAAGGACAAGGAAATAGGAATTGCACCACTGTTATGGCTTCCCCAAAGAATGAAGTTCAAGATTGTGAGGATAACAAAGATAAATATTCCATGTAAGAAGCACGCAACAGACCAGGAAATAGACCTCCATTCTTTTGAAGCTCCTTCGATGGTTCTCCACAAACATTTTGAAACATAGCCCACCACAATGCCTGGAAAAAGACAAAGCAGAATCATCCCTGTCAGCAGCATCCCTATTGAAGCTGGCAACATGAAACCAAGGGCTAATTAAAAAGACAATAGTAACTACCGCCGTCCCTGTAATTTGAACACCATCGATCTCCAACCATAACACAGAGAAGCTTTGAGCAATCTGGTTCTGATCTGAACACATCACTGACAACAAGCTTCCACCCAGACAGCTCCTCATTCATCTGTGCTTGAGCATCTCTGTCCAATTCCCCTTACCTTGTCCAATCAATTAGGGTTTTTTATATCTTTGGAGACGATAACCCTAATTTATCAAGTTGGAGGTTTTCATGATTTTTTTAACAACGTCCAAAATTATTCATTTGTCTTTAAATCAAGTGTGCATTCATGATATTTTAATCATTACTCACAGATTTAACATAAAATAAACTCACAAATGTTATTCAATTGAGATTCACTTAAAAAACTTACTTTTTTTACTATTATTCAGTGTCATGATGAATATAGTTGAGTAAAATAACATCAACAAGAAATTCTTGGTTCTCGAGTGTAAGAAAACAAAAATTTTGCTTCAGATTTAATGTTTCAATCTAGGTGTGTCATGCTATCAAAGAGAAAGAAAGACTATAGAGAGAAAATTATGCAGATTTATATTTATTATATAAGAGGACAAAAATAATTTTTCATCTAATTTGATTAAAAAAGAAGCTGTAATTTTTTAAATCTTATATGGAAAACAAAAAACAAAACAAATTTTGTGATTATCCGAAATAGTCATGGAAATGAACTAATACAGTACTGAGAATAAGCTTTTTTTTTTTTTTTTTTTCTAGAATAGAATTAAAACTGAGTTGGCGTGTAAACCAGCTAGGATCTTAGAATCAACATATATAAATACATTCGTGTGTGCTATCACCATTTATACTATCCGTTTCTACCATAGAACTTTCCTAAAAGGCAGTACCTCGTTTAAGATATTCTATTCTCATGTAGTTTCTCTTTGTTTATTTTTTAAACTTAGTTCCTTCCTGCATGATTGCCATTCAACCAATTGACGACAACTTTTCACCAACCGGGACGCCCCTTTTGAGCTTCTTTTTTTCTGATGCAGGTTCGTAAAGGAGATGCGGTGGTTGTGTGCTGTGCAGGTCTGAGGCCCACATATATTGAGTAGCTTGTGACTAAACAAACAAGTTAAACGTCATTAATTACAGCAAATTATGATTAATTTACTTAATTCCCGTATGGATAGAGTGATGAGAGCTTCCATTTCCATTTCTGAAGCATGTAATAAACATGCAAGCGATTGAGCAACGATCGGACCAGCCGTACGCTATGTATCTTTGCAAGGAAACTGGCTTTAGTAATTAAGCACACAAGAATGGCCCAGCAGTAGACACAAGCATGCATGGTAGGCTAGCTAGGGGCACAAATGATTTGTTTTGGCAATGGTTTCTTCACTTTAATGTTCACGTCGTGTTAAGAGAACTGTCGACTCATGGATATTATTGAACTTGAACTCCTATTGAACCACGATCAAGAATATTTCTACTTGTTAAGCCCCCTCTTCTATTATTGCGGTTGAAATAGGGAAGATAAAATTTGATTTTTTTTTATATTTTTATATTATTTTGATGAATAATGATTATCAAAAATAATTTTTAAAAATAAAAACAAATAATATTTTTATTATTAAGCCCTCTGTTTTGGTATTGCGTTTCAAATGGGTTACATAAAATTTAAATTACGAGCGTGCTAAAAAAATGAATTATTACCTTAAACTTATATAAAGTGAGAGCAGCTCACGGAGTAAATTACAAAAGAAAGTCAGAGAAATGTAAAGAAGAGAAGAAATATGTACAGAAATATACACATCCATCTTTCCTGCTCAAATTAATCTAAAGGACTAGACGTACGACTTGTTCCATGTATAAAATATTATTAAGACAAAATAATATGGAACCGTTCAACCACTAATCAATCAGTTAGAATTTGGGTCCTCAATTATTAGGTGGCATCCAAACCTGGAAGAGAGCTTCTTAAATAACCTATCGTATAGAGCAACATGACAGCTGATCAGATCGTTTCCTCCTCAAAAAAAAAAAAAAAAAAGAATTTCAATTTATTTCTTTTCCCGGGAAATTAAGCTTAAAGGTGTTTGTTTGCTTAAAAATTACTTTTCAAAAATTATTCAACAAAAAAAATTTTAGTCAAAAAAAAATTTTGGTTTAATTTTTTAAAAATTATTTTTTTTTATTTTGAATGAATTTTTTTTTTAAATTATAAAAAATTTAAAAATATTATATTATTTACTTATTATATTAAATTTAGTTCTTAAACTTTTCATTGATATATTTTTTGTTTAATTTTTTTTTAATTTCATTTCTTAAAATTTAATTTTATTTTATTTTTATAGTAATTTTGGTCTTTATTTTTATGATTGTTATTTGCTTTTCTCTTATAATTTTTTTATTAAAAATTTTTATCTATCAAATTTGATACTTATTTTTTTTATTGTTACTTATTTTATTTCAAATAATTTATAAAATTGTTGTTGTTGTTGTTATTATTATTATTATTATTATTATTATTATAATTTCATTATTTTTCAACTTTTGATTGTTATTTATTTTATTTGAAATAATTTATGAGATCATAATTATTATTATTTTAATTTCATCATTTTTTAATTCTTTAATTTGTTAGATTTGATCTTCATTAAATTATTATTTATTTTATTTGAGATAATTTATGAAATTAGATTTGTTTAATTTTATTCTAATTAAAATTTTTAATTTGTAAGATTTTTTTCTCATTATTTTAATAAACTTGAAATAAAATAAAATAATAATAAACTATTTTTTAGCTAATTTTTCATATAATATGATCAAACACTAGAAAGTTTTTATAACTTATTTTTCATGACACTATCAAATATAAAAAAATAATTTATTTTTTAAAAATTTATTTTCTAAAAATACTACTTAAAAAATTTATTTTTCAGCAAACAAACGGATAAGTAAATACATGACAATTATATTTTTATTTAGATGACTATTAGTTATATGACCTAATTAATTAAAGCATCATCAAATCAATTTTGGAGTACTATTATTTCATACAAATAATCATAAAGAATTTATTTAACATAATTAACTTGGCCTTAACTAGTCTTAGGTTTGGATTTATATTGTGATAATAAAGTAAACATTACCACGTTGTTACTTTAAAAGTAACTTATTAGGTGTATAAAAAATGATTTTAAATAATATTTAAAGTTAATTTATTAGTAATAACAGATAATATATAAAAATTTAATTTATTTAAAGAGTTACGAGTAAAAGGTGTATGTGAGTATGGCAATAATTATTTTTAAAAAATATTTTTTATTTAAAAATATATTTAAAAAAAATATATTTAATATCTGAAAATATTAAAAAGAGTTAATTTAAAAAAACAATAATTTTTTTTAAATTTTTTGAAAATACAAAATCGAACTGCCCTACATATTTATGATCTGAAACACTATTGGAGTCATAGGATACTGGGCATCTTGGTTGTAAATCCGTGTCAGCGTCACGTGACTCCTTAGTTTTTGGCGCTAATTGTTACCCGTAATAACTACCCTGACGCGCACAATTCGTTCATTTCTTCGAGGAGCAGAATACCGTGGTCCTGCATCCACCCGAACTTTCCCGATGTCGTGGTAGTAGATCCAGAGTCTCACTCAGGTGTGCCAAGTCACTGAAAAGTAAAGAGCGGTCCCTTTTGCTGCAAAATCTATCAAAAATAATGGCAGCGAGTGTAGATTAGGTAAGGTCAGTGCGTGATGTTTAAAGGCCGTGGAAGATGTTGCTTAAAGTGTAGAGAAAGCAAAATTCATTCTTGTCACAGAGGATTTATTTCAAAACGAGCAATTACCTTGTTATTAATTAATTAATTAATTAATCAATGAATTTAAGGATATTCACTTGGAGGGTACTTGAATCTAATCAAAGTATTGATTTTATGTGAGTTACAACGACATTATTAGCATGGTAGACGTAGTTAGACATCCAGTCTTAGCGAGTTGTGTCAATTAATTAATTAATTAAATTTTTTAAGAAAAAAAGATGGTTTGGTGATTAAATAACTTGTTTTTCTTCTATGAATTCAATTCTTAAAAATATTTAAAGAATTTATTAAGCTCTTCACTTTTTTATTCCTTAAATTTCTGCATCTGCCCATGTTTTTTTCGGACAAAGCTATGCAAGGAAAACTTGTTGCCCATATTTAAAGCAGCTTTTACTTTGTTTGCTTTATTATCTACAATGTCTTTCACATGCAACGCAACCAAAGCCATTATAGTAACTTCCAGCTACGTTGATTCCCTTAAACCCAGCTTAAACAGAAAACGTCACCGTCTTGTGTTCAGCACAAGTAAAACAGCATCGTTTTAAATCTCTCAATCAGCTTTGCTTCATTAGAGCAGCTCCAACGGACGAGGCATACGGAGAGCTAAAACTGTTTTGGCCATTTAATTGTTTCTGTTCATGTTCCAACGGGCAAGCTAAACAAATAGCCATTTTGGCTATTTGTTTTGTTAACAGCCATTTCTACATTTAACTGTAGAAATGGCTATTTTTATAGCCGTTGGCCAACGGCTAGTTTTATAGCCGTTGGCTAATAATTTTTTTTTTAAAATATAGAATAAATTTTCTATAAATACATGAAGAAAAAATTTGTAGTTTAAATTTTTGTATTGTGCCTCATCCTTCTCTCAAATTTAAAAAAAAAACAAGAATCAATTATTCTCCGATTAATTATTAACATCGGTTGTGTTAATTAGCTGAAATTAAAAGGTATGCTTGTTTAAAAGTTTTTTTATTTTTTTATATCTCTTTATTTTTTAGACCTTTTGTTGTTAATTTAATATTTGTGATGAGTTTTATTTCTTTATTCTTTGATGTTTTTAATATGGATTAAGAAAGACAATTTATATTTATGTTGTTATCTTTGATAAAATTGAGAGGAATTAATAATGGTAGTTGATATTGATAAAAAGATTGAGTTACATATTTAAAATTTATTTTTTATTGTATGTCTTAATTTGAGGTCAATTCTATTTTGTCCTTTTGAAAATGCAATTAAACTAGTATATCGATTCTATTTTAGTTCCAAAAAATGGTCAAATTATTATTAAAACAAGTAGGAGGCAATGCTTATTATTAATTCGCATGTATGAAAACTACAAAATTATTAGACATTGAATGCGAGCTTCTTTTATACTTCTTGTAAAGTTTTAACTTGAGTTTTTTTTTAATGTAGATGGATTCAAATTTTCCAAGCTCTTTTACCAACTTTCTTATGAGTGAGTCAGAAGATATTCTCTCTCAACCAAGTGATTCTAATCAATTAATTGATGACTTAACATGCTCGAATTTAAATGTCCATTCGGCAAAAAAATCACAAAGAAGTAAAAATTTCTCACCAGAGGAGGATTGTTTACTCGTCTCTGCATGGCTAAATACAAGCAAGGATCCAATTACAGGAGTTGAACAACAAACAAAACAGTTTTGGGCTCGTGTACATGCTTGCTTTGTAGATAATGGAGGAAACTTGAATAATCGTTCACAAATAAGTATCTCAAGTAGATGGCAAGAAATAAATAGAGAAGTCGGTAAATTCGTTGGATTTGTTACTCAAATTGAAAATCGTCAGCAAAGTGGAATGACTGAAGAATCAAGGGTAAGTTTATATTCATTTTTATGTTAAATTGTTTAACATATATTTTAATATTATTTAATTTATTTATTTTTTTACCAGATTAATGATGCTCGGCAAATGTATGCTTCTTGCGTTGGCAAACGATTTCAACTAGAACATTGCTGGGTTATTTTAAGAAAAGAACCCAAATGGCAATTTGAGCGTGCAAGTCAACATCAAAGGTCAAATAAGAAACAAAAAGGTCATGTCAATGCAAGTCCAGCTTCATCAACTCCATCCACCCCTGATGCTGTGAGTTTAGGAGAAGATAGTGAACCGTTGATTTATCAAGATAGACCAATCGGTCAGAAGGCTGCAAAGGAACGACTTAAACGTAGACAAGGAAAAGATAAAGTTGGGGATGTAACTGTAACGAATCTCTTACAACAATTCAGGGATACTCTAGTTGAAATTGAGGATCAGAAGAAACAAGACAGGAAAATTATGTTAGAGCAACAAGCCATGATGATTCAACAAAGTCAAGAGAAACAAGAATTGGACAGGATTGAGAAAGAAGAACAAATTATGAAAATGGATATTTCTAATTTGGATCCAATTTCTGCAGCGTATTTTCAAAATAGAAAGTTAGAAATTATGCAAAAGAGGGGTTTTGATTTTTAATTAACTTTGATTGATTTATTGTAATGTAATGTATTTTTAATTAAATATGTAGAAAATTCTTGGTTATTTTAAATACATTGTTATGAAATTGATATCAATTCATAATACTTTTTTAAAGTTCCTCTAACATTTAACAATAACAAGTAGGATTAATTAACTTAAAAGATAACAAACATAATGAAAAAAAAAACATAAAAAAACCTGAAAATTATGATAACATAAGAAGTTAAAATCTAAAGATTCTACTCGTTGCCATATTGTTCCCACAAATGTTCAATCAAATCTTCTTGTAGTTGAGAGCTAGTAGCTCTATCCCTAATTCGATTATGAGTTTGAAGAAAATCATGTAGTTCTGGTATTTCACAACGTGACACTGATATAAAGGAATTGACTTCATGTTCATGGTCAAATCTAAGGTTCATTGCTCCTTCATCCTCAATAATCATATTATGCATTATTATGCAAGCTTTCATAATATATGCAAGTGTTTCTTCATCCCAGTATCGAACAGGTCCACGTACAATTGCAAAACGAGATTGGAGCACCCCAAATGCCCGCTCCACATCTTTTCTTGCAGACTCTTGCTTGCTTGCAAAATATTTTCTCTTTGCTCCTAATGGTCTTGGGATTGTCTTAACAAAGGTTGACCAATTAGGATAAATCCCATCTGCTAAATAGTATCCCATTGTATATTCATGCCCATTAATTGTATAATTGACAGGAGCAGTACGACCTTCAGCAAGTGCAGCAAAAATAGGTGACCGATCAAGAACATTAATATCATTTAATGATCCAGGCATTCCAAAAAAGGCATGCCATATCCAAAGATCTTGTGAAGCCACTGCCTCTAGAATTATAGTTGGTTCACGACAATGACCAGTATACATCCCATGCCATGCAATTGGGCATTTCTCCCATTTCCAATGCATACAGTCAATGCTCCCTAACATCCCTGGAAACCCACGCTGCTCTCCAATTGATAATAATCGACAAATATCAGCCTCGTTTGGTGCCCTTAGATAGCAATCACCAAAAACTTCTACGATTGCTTTGGCGAAAGCTCTAAGACTTTCTATTGCAGTGGTTTCTCCAATTCGAAGATATTCATCAGTAAGATCTGCAGGAATACCATATGCAAGTATTCTGTGAGCTGCAGTTATCTTTTGAAGGCAAGATAAACCAAGAACACCAAGAGCATCTGTCCTTTGTTTGAAATATGAATTATGAGCTTCCACTGCATTTGCGATCCGAAGAAAAAGACGACGACTCATCCTAAATCTTCTTCGAAATTGACTTTCGGTGAATTTAGGATTTTCTGCAAAATAATCATTATATAACCTTAACTCACCTTCCTTTCTATTACGATTGACAATGTTGTGACCAGGAATAGAGCCACGATACCTTGTTCTCCGTCCTTGAATATTCGATTCTTCTTCAGCAACTACAGCAGTAGCAACTTGAAAAGCCAACACAGGAGTGTCATCATCAAAATCAAAAGCATCATAAAAATTAAAATTAGAATGATTCATGATGAATTTTAATGAAATATAACAAAGATTGGAGAGAAGAAAATGATGAGAAAAAATGTTAAGATGTATGAGAATATTTATAGATGGACTATTTTTTCAAATTGTAAAATCTTAGAATGTTGGCGGTAAGTTTTTTAAAATTTGAAATTTTAAAATTTAAAATATTGGCGGTTATGTTTTCAAAATTTAAAATTTCAAAATTTAAAATATTGGCGCTTATTTTTTCAAAATTTAAAATTTAAAAATTTAATGTTGGCGGTTATCTTGGTGCTGATTTTTTCAAAGTTTGAATTTGAATTTACTTTTTAAAAATTAAATTTTTAACAATAACATATAAAACTTAAAATTAAAAATATTGATATAAATAAATTTTAAATTTAATTTTAAATTATATTTTTTAACTTTTATATTACTTCATTAATTTTATAAATTATTCATATTAATTATGTAATTAATAACATCATAATTATATTATATATAAAATATTTAAATTAGTTATATAATTATATTAAAACTAATTTAACATGAAATATATTAAAATATAAATGGCTTTTCTATATAGCTTTTACCATTGGAATGCATATCAACAAAAAAGCTATATCTACCCTATTTATAAAGCCATATTATCAATATAGCTCTTCTAAAAAGCATCTCCCGTTGGAGATGCTCTTAGTCCCCGTTAGCCGTAACCACCCACCTGCTTTTAAGTTTAAAAGGCTCATGCTCAGCTGAGACAGCTTCACCACACCGGGGAGGAAAAGACACAACAGAACCACCACCACAGGCAATGCTGCCACGAATACCTCCAGCGCCACCACCCGACCACCGTTAGCTGCACCACCACAACCACCAGAACTTAGAAAAATGGCGCAGAAACTGAAACTAAAAGTGCTAACTTTGATAACAAAGCTGTCGGACAGAGACACGTACAAGATAGCATCAACAGAATTAGAGAAAATAGCAGGATCCTTGGATACCACGACACTTCCTACTTTCCTCTCTTGCATTCTCTCCACCGACGCAAAAGACAAGCCGTTAGTACGCAAACAGTGCCTTCACCTTCTCTCTACTCTCTCTGCTCTCTACTCTAATTCTCTCTCAAACTCTCTCCCTAAAATCCTCTCTTACATTACTCGCCGTCTCCGTGACCCTGACTCCTCTGTCATCCGCTCACAGTGTCTGACAGCAATAACCTCTCTCGCTTCCAATATCACGAAACTTCCATTCTCGACTGCCTTTTTGAAGCAGTTGAGTGAATCGGTGTTTACGGAACAGGAATTGAATGCGCAGATTGGATCCGCGCTGTGTCTGGCCGCCGCGATAGATGCCGCGCCGGATCCGGAACCAGAGAGGTTAGGGAAGGTGCTGGTGCCGAGATTGGAGAGGTTGGTGAGGAGTGAAGGGTATAAAGCGAGATTTGCGGGACTGGTGGTTGTAGGGAGTGTGATTGGTGTTGGTGGAGTGAGCGGGATTGGAGGAGGGATTGGAGGCTTGGTTAAGTGTTTGGTTGGGTTCTTGAGTAGTGAGGATTGGAATTCGAGGAAAGCCGCGGCTGAGGCGTTGAGGAAGTTGGCTGTTGTGGAGAGGGATGGTGTTGCTGAGTTTAAGAGTGAGTGCTTGAAAGTTTTCGAGAACCGGAGATTTGACAAGGTTTTTTTTTTTTGGTTCTGATTTGATTGTGTTAGTCTTAGTATGTGTCCATGTTCTGTATTTTTTTTTTTTGTTCTGATTTGATTGTGTTAGTCTTAGTATGTGTCCATGTTCTGTATTTATTTATTTTGTTTTTAATTTAGGTGAAGGCTGCTAGGGAAGTGATGAATGAGACAATAGAGGCATGGAAGCAGGTTCCGGATGTGTCAGAGGAGGCATCTCCGCCTCCTCGGTCACTGGCTTCTTCCAGAGGTAATGGCTTGAGGAGTAATGTTGCTTTTTCTTTCCTTTCTCTTTCAGATTTGGTCCTTGTAGATGTGGATTATCTTGGAGAAGAAGTTGATTTGCTTTGGTTTTGTTGATTTGTAGATGGGACAATTTCTGCTGATTTGAAGCCAGATTTTTTTAATTTCTTCTATTTATTTAGACTTATATTATGGAATTTACCCTGTTTTGATCCTTTTTGGTCTTTAGATTTATTGTTAAATAAATCTGGGATTTTTAACATTCAACATGGCATATGCCTTGTGTTGCAAATTAAGGGATTTAATTCTTGTTTGTCTGTGTAACCCATTTCCAAATTTTGGTCTTTTATGATCACAGAAGATGCGAGTGATAAGCGTCACTGGTCTGGATCCAAGAATTCTTGCGCTGCTGGTTCTGAAGCCACTCAAATGGGGAAAAAATCCATTTTGGTTATCAGGACTACTCCACCTGACGGTTCATTAGCAGCCATGGCTAGGAAGAGGAGTCTTCTAAAGAGTACCGAGAAGAAAACGAGTCTAGCAATGTACGGGAAAAAAGTGGACCAGAAGAAGCTCGTGGACTGGAAAGTTGAGATTTCAGTTCCTAATAGCATTTCGTCAATTGCAGCTGGGGAAAATGATCGTAATGAGAAAAATGCTAATGTTTCAGAAAGAAGGTTTGCAAAGCCAGAAACAAAACGAGCCCTTTTCAGTAAGAACTCTGATGAGAAGACGCTTAAATTTGGTGGTTTCAAGTCTGGTTCTCGAGTGGCTCCTTGCTACGAGGAGAGCCCTCAGTCTACTGTTGTAACTAGCAGTGGGACAGAGAATCAACATAGCAACCACAAGGAGCCTGAAGATTTATCTTTGATTCGCAACCAGCTTGTTCAGATTGAAAGACAGCAATCTAGCCTACTAGATCTCCTGCAGGTTTGTTCCATTGACTAGAAACTTGGGCTTCATCTTAGAATAGCTTATCAGTACTTTGGTGGTGAAAATTAAAATGGTCAATGTATGTAGCTTTCCTTATTATAAACTATCCATCTCATTGTTGGGCATAATTGAAAACATTTTGTAAGACTTGTCAATTTGGAATCACATCTTTAAAATAATCATTTACATCTTTAAAATAAATTCTAATAAACCACATTGGATTATATGATGTATATTGCTGATTCAAGCACTAGTATTTTTAATGAAGGTTTCTGTTCACGCTTTCTCCCATTATCTTATCACATGTAGAGTTTCATTGGGAGCTCACAAAATGGGATGCGTTCCCTTGAAACACGTGTGCATGGCCTAGAATTGGCACTGGATGAGATATCATATGATTTGGCTGTATCAAGTCGAGGGATGGCTAACAGAGATTCCAACAGAACCACATGTTGTTTACTACCTGGTGCAGACTTTTTGAGCTCCAAGTTCTGGAGGAAAACAGATGGCCGCTATTCAAACTCAAGGATTTCTTCATCCAGGGGTGCTCCATTTTCAGCTGCTGTGCGCCATAGAGCTGATAGGAATGCCCAATCTGAAACAAGTAACTTGGGGAACCAAAGGTTGCGGCTTCAGGGTGGTGCTGGCTTCATTGTGAATCCCCTGGCAGAGATTCATGGTGGTGCACGGGTGAACTCAGAGGTGACACAACACTAGCCAATGATCAGCAGGTATTTGATACTGAACTACTATTTAAGGTGTCCTACTGTTCATCCTTCCTCTGATTCGTTTAGACTTACATGTTGCATGTCTTTACGTGGATTGGCATTTGACGAGCCTAGAACCCCCCCTCCCCCTCCCTCCAGATGTACTTCTTTGAAATTCAAACCTGAAGTTATTCAATCAGGAATTTGTTAATGAACTATCTAATTCTGAAAAAACAAAAAAAGACGAAGAAAAAATAATCAGCTTATCACATTCCGTGCATCACATGTCTTGCAATAAAACTTATAGTTAACTGGTGGGTTCATGGCAACAATATCTTCTTATTGTTTGCTTTTGTTGTTTCTTTCTTTCCTTTCATATTCCGGGTTGGAGAATTGTTCGCAAACTTAGGTCATGCGGACCTCCATGTTCCATTAATTACTCAAGGAGCTGTTTATGAATATTTCCTCATGAAGCTTCAAGGGAGAGGAAAAAATTTCCTAGTACATTTTTTCGTGCTTTCTTGCCTTTTCAGCTTGCATCCCAGTTAACATGAAATTTCAGGATGTTCTTCAACGTTCTCTGCTTAATGGGTTATTGGAAGTCTGCAAGATTAAAGTTTCTGATAAAATTCTGTTTTGGTCAATGACCTGATAAATTCTTGCAGCTTGCGGATTCGCCGCATAACTGGGATGGCCCAGTTCTTGTGAAATCTCCATTTTAGAAGAAACCAGTAAATGAAGAAGGAAAATTCAAAGACTATCTGTAAGACAGTGTGCTGTCCACTCATGAAGTTTCTTATCACAAGTTACAACATAAAAAGTTCCTTATACAGCTTGCCCAGGAGAGCTTCTCAATTCTATAGCCCTTTGCAGTAACAAGAGCGAAAAGACAGTCATTTTATCCATAATTCTTCATTTTACTGTAGCATTTTTCCCCCTACTGTATCGAGCATTATAAATCCTTACATGATGTTGAGAGATATAGAGGTATTCTGAAGACTGTGTGAACATTCCACCACCAAATATGCCCGCAGCCTGGTATACAGTGTTGAATTTGTATAGCTATTATTGTTTCCAAAGGAATGGTTTCAATTTCTCTTGTTGTTCTTGCTGATTATCCTTATCCAATAAATGGTATTGCTAATGTAGACCTATTGTTGTCTGGAATTTCTTTTAGAAACATGCATGTCTCGCCATATCCATCAGAGCTTGTCATTCTGAGCATTTTGCAGATCAAGGAGATGCAATGGAGTTTTGCAGTTGGTCAGGGATCACCCTGCTCCAATTTTAACGTTCTCCAGGATAAGAAACATGCATCTACTTGTAAGCAGGTGCCAAAATCTTCTGCTGAAGAAGATTAATTGTACAACAGTCGAATAGCTTGAATAGATCATGTGCTCGGTCGTGTTCATGCAATTCACAGGTAATTACTGAGAAGATTATATCGACAGAGGCAGTACATAAAATACCTGATTCAAAGGTTTGTATTACAGGCATATCGCCAGTTCATTTATTCAATTTACCAAATGAAACGTGTAATCTGCAAAATTGCTCATGACAATCCCTGGTTCAATTGTACTCTATAACACAAGAACTGACAAAACATGGCCTGGGCTAGCAGTCAGGAGGGCCATCGGTCTATGACATGTAGCAGCTGACTATAGACGATTAAGGATTGGATTCGATACTAATCTGGTGATACAGAAATGGTACACAAATAAATAACTTTGGAAAGAAAAAGCAAAGCTAGCCAACGGAGCAGCTTTCTCGCAATAGCAGCTGCAGATAAACGAAGAAAGTCCACAACTAAAAAACCACAGTAGCATTGATTTCCCAAATCACACGTATATTTCTCAAGTTGGCTGCAGAACAAAAGTAAATTCTGCGAGTTAATTCGTGGCCTGGAATTCAACTTGCTAGTCTATTACATAACATTGAAGTCATTATGGAAGTGAACTGAAATTTGAAGACAACAACTAAAATGAAAGTCATGAAGGTTGCTGGCCAGTGCCTTGATTGTCAATTTTCTGCAGAAAAATGACAGTCCCAGATAGAGTTCAAGAGTGAATTTATGGTGATATCATGACTTTACATTAGATCAAAAGCAAAATGGATGCACAGCATAGCTGCTTTAGTTTGTTCAAATGAAATTAGTGAGCTGTGAAACGTAGTGCAAAGAGAAAAACAGCGAACAGGACAATGATTCAACCTCTGCAATGGCTTGCAACTTAAACCATTCTAACGACCACAAGAATTTGCAAAGCTGAATAATAGAAACCTCCGGTAACTGGCTATAAAAGAAAATATCAGGTAACATATACTGCCTGAAGCCATGAGCAGTACTATCCATCATAGCGGCGAAAAGACAGCAGCAAATATTCATGAACTAAGATAACATTATTGTTCTACATTTGACGAGGAACAAAGAAATGAACACAGTAAGGAATTTTAAACTGGACAGCGGTAGAATGTTTAAGGAAAAGAGAAATGATCAAGGCCACTTCAAACACTCAGCAAGCTAGAATGTAACAACAGACTAATGATAGATCTAGTGAACAATTACGCCATCAAGTGCTGTACAGTAAGTATTCTAAATTCTGTAGGAGGCGATGACAAACAAAGTGCTTAGGACATTTCACTTCCTCCTATTCCTACTCCATAAGAAAGACCAAAAAAGAACTCAAAACCAAATTTAAAAGTAGCCAATTTAAAGATAAGAGGTAACACTAATTTGTTTGTTCACGCTATGAACCAAAAATTTCCGGGATGCCAAAAAGAATTAAAGAAAAGAAAAAACTAACTCCTGATCCACCAGTAACAAACCAAACACACAAGCTTAGCCTTGTTTTGTTTTATTTTATTTTATTTTTGAAAAAAATATACAACATGTATTTTCAACAACAGGTTATCTATTGCTTAAATAAAAATATTGCATGTTGCGGTGCTTGAATTTGTAATCTTTTACCTTAATCTCGTACATAATCAATTGAGTTACAATATAAAATTATTATAATGTGAATTCAACAAATATATTAATATGCTTTATTCTTTATATAAACATTAAAGCAAACTAAAAAACCCTACTTCTTTTAGTATCATTAGAATGTTTTCGAAGCAAAGAGAATATCATTAGAAAATTTAAAATTTTAGGGGTAAACATACAATATTGATAAATTTATAAGGTTCGGAAAAGTAATAAAGTTTCACCGATCAAATTTATTTTATATTATTATCCTATTGGAAATTAATAATTGTAAAAATACCTATGTAGCTAAAGAAACGGTGCCATTTTTGCTTTGATTAAGATTAAGCCACCGAAGATTCAATTGTCTAGTGCCACTCGTAGTCTTTTCTACGAAATTTTAGCGCCACAATGGATTCCATAAACGCGGAAAAACAGCCTGTTTATGTTTGGATTGTTGTCATAGCTGAATGAAAGAAACTCCTTTCACAAACTTCATGGCCAGCCTAGTACTACGAGTTAGGAGTGTGATTGAAAATGTAGTTATTGTTATTTTTTAAAATATTTTTTATTTAAAAAAATATATTAATAATATTTTTTTATTTTTTAAAAATTATTTTTAAGATCAACATATCAAAATAATTTGAAAACATCAAAACTATATTAATTTAAAATAAAAAAATTTAAATTTTTTCGGAAATGTTTTTCAAACATAAACGCCCTTAAAGTCTTTGTTTTACATAAAATATTTTACTAATATAAAATATTTTTACAATTTACATATACAATTTTTTACCATGTTCGGTGAGCAATAATTTAAAAAATAAAATAATAATGATATATTATGATAAAATAATAATAATAATGACGACAATAATAATAATAAAATAACAATAATATTAATTAAAAATGATAAAAAAATAATTATAGTGATAGAGATATTAATGAGAATGTAATTACAATGATAATAATAGTAAAATGGTGATGAAAATGATAGAATGGTAATCAATGGGATAATAATGAGATTATGGTGTGGTGATAATGACGATGGTGAAGTGTTTGCGATGATAATTAAAATAATAGTTGTGATAAAAGTTGTTGACAGTGGTGATAATAATAAAAATAATATATTCAATGTATTTATGTTTTATTTTGGAAAAATAAAAAAAATGGTTTTTTCATTTTTTATTTTGTAAAAAATTGCATTTGAATACAAAAATCATTTTTGGTGTTTCCTTTTTGTTTTTTCTATTTCTCTTAAAAAATCGAAGTAACACTCTACCTCTAAATAACTTTCAAACGACCTGGCAAGCCACTGCGTTTAATTTGACCAAATATTAATCGAAGGATCGATCTGTATAAATGTAATAAATAAAAGGATCCCGCGTGATTTTTACCCATTTGCATCCTATTCGAAAAGTTTATGACAGCGCTCCGCCCCGTCTTCAGTGTCTATAATAATAATAATTAATAATTATTATTATAATAAAAGGATCCATTAATAATTCGGGCCAAATAAGTAAGAAAACCAAAACCTGTTAGATCCAAATAAGAAAACCCGCCCAATCTGCTCGCTCCATTTTCTTATCCACAAAAACTGCACGTGTCCTTCTCCAAGCGAGCTCAATTCAAGCTCTCACTCTCCAGACCCATCCCCCTTCCTCTTCTCTGCAAAATTTTCCCAATTTCCCGAGAAGATTCAGCTGCAAATCCCAATTTTCCCCGAGAAAACCCGCTCTCCACACGTCTCCTCGACCTCCTAAAGCTCATGCTGTCCAAATCACCAAAATGACCCTATCTCCTTCCCTCTCCATCCCCAGCCCCTCGCCCATCTCCACTAAAATCATCAAATCCAAACACACCTTCCCATTCCCAATCCTTCCTTCCCACCGCAGACTAGTCTCATTCTCTAGCGACCGGAAAGCCTATTCCGGCGCCGGGAGAGCCAGAGCTAAGCCGAAAGAACTCGTCCTCGGCAACCCTTCCGTAGTCGTCGAGAAAGGCAAGTACAGTTACGATGTCGAAACCCTAATTAACAAACTAAGCAGCTTACCTCCACGCGGCAGCATAGCAAGATGTCTCGACGTTTTCAAAAACAAGCTTTCGCTAAACGACTTCGCTCTGGTCTTCAAGGAATTCGCGCAGCGCGGTGATTGGCAAAGGTCGTTACGGCTCTTCAAGCATATGCAGCGTCAAATATGGTGTAAGCCAAATGAGCATATTTATACAATTATGATTAGCTTGTTAGGCCGCGAAGGCCTCCTCGAAAAATGCAGCGATATTTTCGAGGAAATGGGTGCGCACGGAGTGTCACGCAGTGTGTTTTCCTACACTGCATTGATTAATTCCTACGGCCGGAATGGTAAGTATGAGGTCTCTCTTGAATTTCTTGAAAGAATGAAGAAGGAAAGGGTTTCGCCCAGTATTTTGACGTATAATACTGTTATTAATTCGTGTGCGAGAGGTGGGTTAGATTGGGAGGGTCTGCTAGGTTTGTTTGCCGAAATGAGGCATGAAGGAATACAACCTGATATTGTCACATATAATACTCTGCTTTGTGCTTGTTCTAATAGGGGATTAGGGGATGAGGCAGAGATGGTATTTAGGACAATGAATGAAGGAGGGGTTGTGCCTGATATAACAACATACACTTATCTTGTTGATACTTTTGGGAAATTGAATAGGTTAGACAAGGTTAGTGAATTGCTCAAGGAGATGGCTTCTACTGGCAATGTACCTGAGATTTCATCGTATAATGTGTTATTAGAGGCATATGCAAGAATAGGGAATATTGAGGATGCTACGGGGGTGTTTCGGCTGATGCAAGAAGCGGGATGTGTGCCCAATGCAGAGACGTATAGTATATTGTTGGGTTTGTATGGGAAGCATGAGAGGTATGATGAAGTAAGAGAGCTATTTTTGGAGATGAAAGTGAGTGACACGGAGCCTGATGCAGCTACATATAATACACTTATAGATGTATTTGGTGAGGGTGGGTATTATAAGGAGGTGGTGACATTGTTTCATGATATGGCGGAGGAAAATGTTGAGCCCAATATGGAAACTTATGAGGGGTTGATATTTGCTTGTGGGAAAGGTGGGCTACATGATGATGCTAAGAAGATTTTACTTCATATGAGTGAAAAGGGGATGATACCAAGTTCAAAGGCATGTACTGGAGTTATTGAAGCATATGGACAAGCTGCGATGTATGAGGAAGCTCTTGTGATGCTTAATACTATGAATGAAATGGGCAGCAAGCCAACGATTGAGACTTACAATACACTGATTTACATGTTTGCAAGAGGTGGGTTATACAAGGAAACTGAAGCTATTTTGTTGAAAATGGGTGATTTTGGGGTTGCTAGGGACAGGGATTCTTTCAATGGTGTGATTGAAGGCTTTAGACAAGGCGGTCAGTTTGAAGAAGCTATTAAGGCTTATGTTGAGATGGAAAAATCTAGATTAATTCCTGATGAACGGACACTTGAGGCAGTCTTAAGTGTTTATTGCATAGCGGGTCTTGTTGATGAGAGTGTGGAGCAATTTCAGGAAATTAAAGCATTGGGAATATTGCCGAATGTCATGTGCTATTGTATGATGCTGGCTGTTTATGCTAAGAGTGACAGGTCAGTATTCACTTGGTTTTGTAAACACTTGAAATCTGTGTGAGAGTTCATCTATTCATGACTACTTTTATTGTCATTTGTAAACACGAATTGGAACATAGGCTTAGTAATGTACTTCAATGAGAGAAGTTGAAAGCACATTGTAAGCTATCGTGGTCAATATTCTGTAGACGTTAGTAACACATGCTGAACAAAATCTAGTTGGGTTCCTATAATATAAGAGTTATCATGTAGCCTTAGACAGAAATGAGTAGATAGACTTTGTTTAATTGACTGTGAGTAGGACGCTGTTTTAGCATTCCCATTTAAATATGGTTTGCTCCCTAAGTTTTATTTTGCATAACCTATTGTGGTGCTTGTCAATGGTATTTGAGATTTTAAATGTGATATGAAATTTTCTGTTCTCTTCTTTCACAAAATTAATAGGCTGGGAAAAGAAACTTGGCAGTAACATATATTCCTTTTCTGTTTTCTTTGTGTGAAGTAGCACTGCCACTTTCTCATGATGTTATTGTGTTGTTTATGGAGTCTGCATTATGCTGTAATGGCTTTCTAATGCTAGAAATTCATTTTCGATGCTGTGCTTTGTTGAATTAAAACTGTTTTGATTGTTATTTCTCAAAACTTTGCAAATGCTACAGATGCATATTTAGGCTTTTCATCCTATCTCACTTCTTGGGCCCCTTGTTCTCAGATGGAATGAGGCCTATGAGCTTCTTGATGAGATGCTAACGAATAGGGCGTCAAATATCCATCAAGTGATTGGGCAGATGATCAAGGGAGATTTTGATGATGACTCTAACTGGCAAATGGTAGAGTATGTTTTTGACAAACTTAATTCTGAAGGGTGTGGCTTGGGAATGAGGTTTTATAATACACTTCTAGAAGCACTATGGTGGCTCGGCCAGAAAGAACGGGCTGTGAGGGTTCTTGGTGAAGCAACGAAGAGAGGGCATTTCCCTGAACTTTTCCGTAAAAGCAAACTTGTGTGGTCTGTGGATATTCACAGGTGCTGTACGAAGTCTTTCTGTTCAAATTGTTTTTCTTGTGACATCCTTTTTAACTTTTATGTTCAAATTGTTTTTCTTCTTGTGGCATCCTTTTTAACTTCTACGTTGATGATTTTGCAGGATGTGGGAAGGAAGTGCATACACAGCAATATCTGTCTGGCTCAATAACATGTACAAGATGTTCATGAATAGAGAGGATATTCCCCAACTTGCATCAGTCATTGTGGTGTAAGTCCTTTTCTCCTAAGCACTATTACTTTCTTTCTTATTACAGACTGACAGAGGGAGGGTGAACTTTTGTTCAACGAATATAGCTTTTAGCTGAATTGATTCCTCATCCCTCACAGTCAGCAATGTGATCTGTTTCCAGCATGCACCTCTATTTGAAGCTATATTAAATTCTTGCATTATAGCCATCCCAGGCTGTCTCTTTGCCTCTCTTGAGCAAATCTATATTGGTTAAAGTATATAGTTGGTATCCCTGCATGTCTTAGGTCTTAACATTAGTGATTTATACTTTAGTTGCCAACTCACAGTTGCACAACTCTAGTGAAAAGGTGAAAGGTTGCAAGGTGATAGCCTATGCTATGTATGCTATTTGGGCTTGATTTTCTGTTTTGCTTATCAAATATTTTATAGATCTTTCAAATGGATTGCATGAAACATTTTTAATATGTGCTATATTTTTTGGGCTTGATTTTCTGAAACTTTTGTCTCTTACTATGGTGATGTTTTTTCTTTTCTTCCTTATCAGACGGGGACTGTTGGAGAAAAGCTCAGTTGCACAAGATTTTCCAATTGGGAAGGCTGTACATTCGTTTCTGCAGGATATTGTGCCATCTTCATTTTCTTACTCTGGATGGAACAAAGGTCGAATTACCTGCCAACGTTCCCAGCTCAAGCGCTTTCTGTTGGGAACAGAATCAGTTTCAGATGGGACCAAGAAAGATAAATTCATTATGTTAACTAACTCCCCTCTTTCTCTTGCTGGAGCAAGAACATCGAGTGATATTGAGACTAGCCAACACAACAAATCCAATTCTGGAGCTAGAATGGGAACCAGTACAGAGCTTATGACAAGCACAGTTTAAGTCGATATGCATAATCCGTTCATCAGTTTTCAGGGCCTGGAAAATCTGCATCCCGTATTCCAGTTAAAAGAGCTATGAGCCAAGGATTGATCTGTTGCTGTTTTTTTCTTTTTTAATGTGTCCACACGTGGAAATCAACAAAGTGTTTGCGGAGGTCAATATCAACAACCACATTGCTGGAATAAAGTAGAAAGTGGGACGTGGTGTAACATCAAGTTCCTTGGTTCGATAGTGGGGAGAGCTCGGATGATGAAAAGGATTACTAGTTTTGTAGCAGTAGATTAATTTCTCACATGTAAATGAACTTCCATTTAAAAAAAAAAAAAAACAAATTTACACGCATTGATCAATTATTTGAATAAGTTGAACTCTAGGACCTAGCGACCCATGATTTTAACTTCTAACCACATTTAATTTGATTGTAGCTGCAACTTGAAGAGGCAGAGAGAAGAAGAGGAGGTGCCTTCCATGAGGATAGAGAGGCAAAGCAATGTAGCTGGCTAATTCAAATGCATTTCTCTTACTTTAATGAATGGGAATTTGTCACTCATGTCGAATGGAATGTATTGTTAACGATTTGATCAATAAACGAAGTGCTGGAATCTCCAGTTTCTTGCATTTTTGCCCTAAAATGTTTAAACAGTTGACAACAGATGAAATTGGCATTCGCAGAAGCGAGCTCCCTCGAATTGTTAAAATATGTTTGCGTTGGACACTGATGCTGCTTCATGGAGTTTTTGGCACAGGATGAATTTCTTCAAGGAAGCTCTTCTGAGTTTCCATTCCTGTTAGATGTTTATAAGCTTCTTTGTAGTTATTTGTTGAACATCCATGGTGCCTGCAACTTTGTCTTTTCTGTGAGAGATGTAAAAGAAACTTTATTTTCATTTTGCGTCTCTTGTATTTTGTTGAAGCATATTTGGAGGGTTACAAGCTAAGTTTAACGCAAGTTAACGACCTTTAAACCCAGGGTAGATTTATAATGTATTTGAGAATGTAATAAAAGTTGTTTTTTAAAATATTTTTTTAATGTATTAAAATATTTTTTAATCTAGGGATTTTATTCAAAATTTCCATAACCCATCAATATGCTATATGGCCGGACATCACGACTCTTGTATAAACATATATTTAACAAAAAGTAATTAAAACATAAGACTTAAGATAATTTGATTTTAAGATATAGTTTTTTGAATTCGAATTCTAACAATGTTTATCGAACATGTTCTGACAAAAGAAAGTGTCGCCTCCGTTCGTACAAGATTCGCATGATTTTCCATTAAAATTTAAGACAGCATGTTAATTGAATATAAAACTTTTCAAACTGACAACATGAACTTTGTTCGGCTTGCATTTAAAATGATTAAAAAAAAATTAATAGTAAAAGAAATGGCCACGAGAGGTTAAGTGAACCTAGTCAAATTCTTATTTTTTTTTTATCGTAGAGAAATTGCAAAATAATAATTCTTTTTATATTTTTCAGTTTTTTTAAAAACTTAAAGAGATAAGAAAAGGCACATTTTTTAGAAACAATTTTCATTTCAATCAGTAAATACTTTTTCTTTATTTTTCTATTTCTTACAAATATTTTATATAAAAATAAAAAAAATAAAGAGATAAGAAAATTCTATTCACACTGATTAATTTTATATATTTTCATGAAACTTACTACAGGGAATAAAAAAATATTATTATTTATAATATTATAATTGGTTTTTCTATCAGCAATATAAAACAAGAAAACGTATAATGAAATGGATTGGGAAAGCCTTTTTTTTTAATAATTACAAGAAATGCAAGCACCAAAAACGCATTCCCAAACGAGTTTAATTTTTTTTAATTGAAATCCGTTCATGCGACTTTGCTAAGCTATAAAGTATAAACCCCTTGTTGTTTGTTTGTTTATCTAATCTTCTCGGCAGGAACAGGGAGAAAAGTATAGGTAAATTGTTTATGCAATTTTGAATGGGCATCTCTGTGCGTTTATTTTATGTTAAATAGTGTTAAATGGTTAAAATAATGTTTGTTTGCACTTGATTTACACAAAAATATTAAATAATTCTGAATTGATTCAAAGCTAATCCTGAAGCTCTAAAAACCCTAAAATATTGGTTCCTGGCTTGATTCTCGACAATATTAAGTGTTCTCCACATGTTTTAGCTATTGTTTTATACTAATTAATTATGCATGTTTTTACTGAAATAATGAAAATCCCTACATTTATCAATTAGGGTTACTGTCCCCATGCGCTAAAACCCTAACAAATTGGTTTGTGGCTTGATTACTAACAATATTAAGTGCTCTACTAATGTTTCAACTATTTTTTATACTAATTATGCATGTTTTGTATGGAAATCATGAAAACCCTTAAATTTATGAATTATGATTACTGTGAATAACAACTCTAATCGATAAATTTAGGGTTTTTTCATGTCTAATTGCTGTGTAATCTGGGGGTTTGACATGTTGAATTATCGTGTAATTTGGAGAATGTGAGAGAATAATTCAAGGAATACCATCTCTTTGTTGTTTTCTAGGAATAACATTAGCAGAGTAATATGGGGTAGAAATCAGTTTCTTAAATTAACAATAAGGTTGCTGTTTTGCTGATGTTGTGTAAACCTTAAATTAACATTAGATTTTATGTTTATGCTAATGTTGTGCTAATAACATGTTCCTTCGCTAATTTAAGATTACAAGTTGAACTCTTCTATAATTTTTGTTTAACATGATTAGTCATGTTTTAAACATCGTTTATCATTATATAATTTTATATAATTTTTCATGGTAGAATACAAAATATTATTTATTATTGCTCATTATAGTAATTTGCCATACATTAAAACAAGTAGTTGCCATAACTATACGATTTAAATTTAATTAATTCAAATGTGTGTGCTGTAAATTCTTGGTTGTTGTGGCCGTGTGTGTTTTGGTTTGTTTGGTAATGATCAAATTGTTGTATTTTTGCTATTTTGAGGCACTGGGGCTAATTTAATCATTAAATTGAATATAACAATAAATTTCTTCCTTGAATATGGCAATTTAATCATTTTAAAAAATACAAATATGTAAATAACATAATTTTTTTTGTTGAATTTCTTCATACCAAAATAGAAGGATGTAAAGTGTTAAGTGGTTATTAAAATTAAGGATATAAAGTGTAATTTTTCAAATAATAAATGAAAAGTAAAAACTGACCAGATTATAAAATGATTAATGTAATTATTTTTAAAAAAATTAAAAAATTTAATTAAGTAAATATTCAATAAAAAATAAATAAAATTAATTTAAATTAATTTGTTAAACTTGCAATTCAGATCATAAAATCAAGATAATATCATAAAAAAAAATTAAAATTTAATTTTCAATCACCTTAATATTATAAAATAAAAATTAATTACAATAACAGTCTTAAAAAATAATTGATCTATGAATTAGCCAGAAGGGGCCGTGAGCTGACCTTTTCAAAGTAACAATGTCAAATGAAAGCCCCCACCAAAGGTAAAGGTACTCTCATTAACCTTTTCATCTCGTCTTCTCTATCTATAGTACGATGTAAATTGAACATGCGTGGTTATGCGTGGTTTTGCATTTCCCAATGTTCTCGAGGCTGTAGATCAAAAATGCGTGCTGTGTCGACCTTTTGTATTCCCTGATTGCAATGACCTTTTTTCACATTCATTAGCATGATGATGATGATGACGACGACGACGACGACGACTATGATGGCTCATTTGCATTTTCTTTGACACTAAGGAAACACTTTCGGGACAGAGATTCATCCAGAGAGGCATTTTAGGATCACATGCTCAAAACGCAAAAGTGCTCACGACAGAGAATATATATAATGGATGATGGGGGCCAATAAAGGCTACATATGATCACCACGCAGCTAGAAGCAGCCCGCAATATCCAAGCCAAGGATTTGCCAGTCATAAACACTATCGCCTCTGTAATTTCGCAGAATCTTGCATAGTTTTCGTGGCCGATTCTCTGTGCATTTTGTTTCTTGAAAAAAAAAAAACTGTGTGAGAGAGGAAAAGAGCACTGTCGCGTTTTAAGTAATTTCTGCACGGTTCTTGTGTGCCGTGTCCCACGTCCTCTTGATCTTTCATTATGTAGCATGATTTTATCGTACAGTATTACCATGCAAGAGGTCAAAGATAATAAGATCATGATACATGAAAGTTGTTCTCACATGAATAGCTAGCCCTAGCTCATCATGGAAATGGTGCAATGTTATTCACCTCTGCCGTGCTTATTATGTAAAGCAATCTAGCTAATTGGTTTTTGCAAGAGTGGGAAAAGAAGTGGTTGGCAGCTTCGACGGTGACATTGAGAGCATAATTCTCCTCCCATGCTCCATCTTTTTGACATGACTACTTATTTTAGGTAGGTTCGATGTGATAAAGACACCCAAAAAGATTCCTAAAGATCAATGAAGCAGAGGAAGAGGCTTCCTTCTCTCAACGAGGAATTGGAGAAAGTAAATGCAACTGGGCTATAAAAGTCAAATTAAATGGCTGGGAGATGGAAACACAGAAGTGACAGTGGAACCCCACCACCAACGTTATCTTGGCTTATCCTCCCAAGACAACCCACCATGAAAGGTGTTTGTACAAAGGAGAAATCCCATGTTAACAGTAAACTAAACAATCCTCTTCCTTTCTCTCAAATTGGATGGAAAGTGGATGCGCGATGCCTCATGCATGGTCCACACGCCCCATCTCTCCTCCGACGACAGGAGAGGAAAAAGATGAAAAAACCCATCAATATATTCTTACTCAACCCATATTGACCGCACTTTTGGAGGGTGCTTTTACAAGAAAGCATAGTATGTGAAAGGGCAGGGCTGGCATCTTGTTTTTACGGGGGAAGTCCGGAATCAAGAAGATGCTGCCCATTTGGATCATCTTGAAGAATGCCTAATCAACAAGAAAATGGGTTTTTTTAAGGAAAAGAAGGTCAAGTGGCACAGACAATATTAGGTTGACCAGGAAGAAGAAAGGGATTGGATGAGATATTATATATTTCCTCGAAATCCCTCCAGCAGGACACCATGTGCATCGCCTCTTCACTTCCATTATGTGAAGTGAAGACTACGTGAACTCGGGGCCCCAAGCAGCCCGTACTATGAAAGAGGCAGCAGAGTAACTACGAAATGGTCTCTGATGGAAATATATTGTAAAGAAAGACTTCCATTTTACTGCCTCTCCTTGGTTCCTTCAAGGAAGCCAAGCTAGCGACCCGCGTTGATTTATTTTAAATTCTCAAAGTCTTTTATTTGGTCAATGCTGTCGTGATTTACATTTTGTTTTCGCGTCCTCAGAATAAAATTTGAGTTTTTTTTATCATATATTTATTTTAAATTTTTTTATTTTTATTTTTATATCATTTAGACGTGTTAATATTAAAAATAAATTTTAAAAAATAAAAAATATTATTTTAATATCTTTTAAAAATATTTTTTAAAATAACTTTTACCACGATATTAAACTGTTAAAATAATATCTTTTTTTAAAAAAAATACAAAATTATACTCGTGTGATACAAGCTAGCCAAGCCTCGATTTAAGAATTTATATTACTATGAGAAAAATCTTATATATATGGAAAGGAACATCACCATTATTACATGGTCACAGATCCATTGGGCCTCCAATAATAATAAAAAAAACAATAGGATATAAAATTTAAGGCAATTAAGAAGACTGAAAAAAAAAAGGTGTTGGAGATATGTTTTTTAAAATTATTTTTATTTAAAAATATATTAAAATAATATATTTTTTATTTTTTAAAATTGTTTTTAAATTAACACATAAAAAAATTACTCATAAAAAAATCCAGATTATTTAGGAACACTGTTTAAGCACACAATTACACGCGCCACCTCATACAATTCTATTTCTATAAAACAAGAAACCAGATTTTCCTGATAATGTTTTAG